ATGAAATTATTGAAAAACTTGAAGGCAGTTTTCATATTTTGCTTAAGTAAAAGAATGAGCTTCCACAAGCTCACCATGCAAGGCCTCATCTTTGTCTATACTTCAGTACCTTAGCATGCAAGGCCTCATCTTTGCCTATGCTTCAAGCTCAACATATGAGGCCCCATATTTTGTCGATACTTCAAAACCACCACTATCTAAGACTTCATCATTTCAAGGTAATCTGTAAGATAATCTAGTTTGAGAATTATACACGAGATGTTTATTCCTCGCCTCGTCAGATGCTTATTCTTAGCTTCACGAGATATTTATTCCTCACCTCACACTATTGCTGAGCCAAGATGTAAGACCTCATCATTCCGAGGCCAGTGTACGAGACTGATAGTTCGAGAGAGCAACCCAACTCGACATTTATTTCTCGCTCTTTGAGATGCCTCACCATATGAGATGTTTTAGTACAAATGCTTTTATCTTCAGAGAGCTTATATCAGCGTCTACATGGATGCACCATCCACCATATAGAGAAGCGTGGACGCTTCGAAGGAGAGGTCCTGATTTCCAACTCTAGGTTCACCTTGCCCCGAACTTCGAAGCGTATGCCACATGCCTCCCTTTCATGAGACTGAACGCCAAAGGAAGAAACCTCTATATGGCTATACCATCCACCATGTAGAGAAGCGTAGACACCTCAAAGGAGAGGTCCTGATTTCCAACTCTGGGTTCACCTCGCCCAAACTCCGAAGCACCCGTCACATGCCTCCCTTTGGCGAGCCTGAACGCCAAAGGAAGAAACCTCTATATGGCTACACCATCGACCATGTAGAGAAGCGTGGGCGCCTCGGAGGAGAGGTCCTGATTCCCAACTCTGGGTTCACCTCGCCCAAACTCCGAAGCACCCGTCACATGCCTCCCTTTGGCGAGCCTGAACGTCAAAGGAAGAAACCTCTATATGGCTACACCATCGACCATGTAGAGAAGCGTGGGCGCCTCGGAGGAGAGGTCCTGATTCCCAACTCTGGGGTCACCTCGCCCAAACTCCGAAGCACCCGTCACATGCCTCCCTTTGGCGAGCCTGAACGCCAAAGGAAGAAACCTCTATATGGCTACACCATCGACCATGTAGAGAAGCGTGGGCGCCTCGGAGGAGAGGTCCTGATTCCCAACTCTGGGGTCACCTCGCCCAAACTCCGAAGCACCCGTCACATGCCTCCCTTTGGCGAGCCTGAACGCCAAAGGAAGAAACCTCTATATGGCTACACCATCGACCATGTAGAGAAGCGTGGGCGCCTCGGAGGAGAGGTCCTGATTCCCAACTTTGGGGTCACCTCGCCCGAACTTCGAGGCATACTCCACATGTCCCCCTTTGGCGAAGCTGAACGCAAAAGGAAGAAGGCTTTGCATGGCTGTACCATTTACCATGTAGGGAAGCTTGGACGCCTCGGAGGAGAGGTCCTGATTCCCAACTTTGGGGCCACCTCGCCCGAACTCCGAGGCATATGCCACATGCCTCCTTTTGACGAAGCTGAACGCCAAAGGAAGAAGCCTCTGCATGACTGCACCATCTATCATGTAGGGAAGCGTGGACGCCTCGGAGGAGAGGTCCTGATTCCCAACTTTGGGTCACCTCGCCCGAACTCCAAGGCATATGCCACATGCCTCCCTTTGGCGAAACTGAACACCAAAGGAAAAAGCCTCTACATGGTTGCACCATCTACCATGTATGGAAGCGTGGATGCCTTGGAGGAGAGGTCCTGATTCCCAACTCTGGGGTCACCTCGCCCAAACTCCGAAGTGCACCTCATATGCCTACCTTTGGTGAGGTTGAGCGCCAAAGGAAGAAGCCTCTACGTGGCTGCACCATCCATCTTGTAGAGAAGCGTGGGTACCTCGAATGAGAGGTCCTGATTCCCAACTCTGGGTTTACCTCGCTCGAACTCTGAAGCGCACGCCACATGTCTCCATTTGGCGAGGCTAAAAGTCAAAGGAAGAAGCCTCTACATGGCTACACTATCCACCATATAGAGAAGCGTGGGTGCCTCGAAGGAGAGGTCCTGATTCCCAACTCTGAGTTCACCTCGCCCGAACTCCAAAGCGCATGCCACATGCCTTCCTTTGATGAGGCAGCCATGTAGAGAAGTGTGGGCACTTCGGAGGAGAGGTCCTGATTCCCAACTCTGGGTTAACCTCACCTGAACTCCAAAGTCCATGCCACATGCCTCCCTTTGGCGAGGTTGAATACCAAAGGAAGAAGTCTCTGCATGACTGCACTATCCACCATGTAGGGAAGCGTGGGCACCTCGAAAGAGAGGTCCTGATTCCCAACTCTGGGGTCACCTTGCCCGAACTCCGAAGTGCTCCCCACATGCCTCCCTTTGGCGAAACTGAACGTCAAAGGAAGAAGCCTCTACATGGATGCACCATCCACCATGTAGAGAAGCATGGGTGCCTCGGAGGAGAGGTCTTGATTCCCAACTCTGGGTTCACCTCGCCCGAACTCTAAAGCACATGCCACATGCCTCCCTTTGACGAGGCTGAACACCAAAGGAAGAAGCCTCTACATGGCTGCACCATTCACCTTGTAGAGAAGCGTGGGCACCTCGAAGGAAAGGTCCTGATTCCCAACTCTAGGTTCACTTAACCCGAACTCCGAAGCGCATGCCACGTGCCTCCCTTTGAGAGATAAAAATACCATCTTCTTGTTGCTTAATTTCAATCCCAAGAAAGTGCACCATCAATCCAATATCAGTCATCTCAAATTCTTTTATCATATTTTCTTTGAAGGCTTTGAACATGGATGGATTGTTGCCTGTAAAAATCAAATCATCCACATATAAAGAGATAAATAGTATTCCTCCATCTTGTTCTCGTTTTACATATACTGTATGTTCATACGGACATTACATAAACCCATTCTTTTTAAAGTAATTGTCAATACGGATATTCCATGCTCGAGGGGCTTGCTTGAGTCCATAAAGAGCTTTTTTCAATTCATAAACTTTATTCAGCTGACCCTCTCGTACGTATCTAGATGGTTGCTTGACATAGATGTCTTCTTCAAAATATCCATTTAGAAATACTGTCTTGACATCAAGCTGATAAATTTTCCATCTGTATTGTGCAACCAGTGAAATCAACAATCGAGTTGTCTCCATGCGTGCAACTGGTGCAAATATTTCTCCATAGTCAATTCATGTTTTTTGAGAGTAACCTCGTGCAACCAACCTTACTTTATACCTCTAAATTTTGGCTTGTATATTCTTTTTAATTTTGTACACCCATTTTACTCCAATGGCCTTTTTTCCTTCAGGTAACTCAGTGACCTTTCATGTGTTGTTATTCTCAATAGAACTAATTTCTTCATCCATTGCTTTCTGCCATCTTTTATCTGTTGAAACTTCTTCAAAAGAAAGTGGTTCACTGTCAGCTAATAAACAAAACAATTCATATTGTTCATCTTGTTGTTCAGTAGCATCATAAATATCCCTCAAGCTTCTCATATTTCTTGGCCCTTCTTCAGAGGATGATTCTAATGAAGATGATGAATCTTCTGATGTTGTGGGTGAGCTAGATACAGCTGTTTGTGTGCCGCTTACTCCACTATTTGGTGGTTGAAATTTTTCTTGCTCAAGAATTAAACGAACTTGCTCAATGTCTTTAGCATTCTCCCAATTCCAAGCTTTATCCTCTTCAAAGATTACGTCTCGACTCATGATAATATCTTTTGTAATGGGATTGTATAACTTGTATCTCATTATCCTATCACCATAGCCAATAAAGATACATTTCTGCCCTTTGTCATCAAGTTTAGTTCTTCTTGCTTCTGGGATCTTTACATAAGCTATACATCCAAACACTCGAAGGTGATTTGCACTAGGCTTATATGTGCTCCAAGCCTCTTCAGGTGTTACTCCGTGAACATTCTTGGTAGGACACCGATTCAATAAATATACTGCAGTTGAAACTACTTCAGCCTAAAATCCTTTAGGTAATTTCTTATCTTTTAACATACTTCTCGTCATATTAAGAATTGTGCGGTTCTTTCGTTCAGCTACGCCATTCAATTGGGGAGTATAAGCTGGAGTGAACTGTTGTCTGATGCCATTCAAATTACAAAAGCTTTTAAATGTATCAGAAGTATATTCACCTCTTTGATCTGACCGCAATATCTTTATGGGATAGCCACTTTGTTTTTCAACACTGGACTTGAATTCTTTAAATATATTCAACACTTTTGACTTTTTCTTGAGAAAGTATACCCATGTCTTTCTACAATAGTCATCAATAAACGTAAGAAAGTACTTGTTTTGTTCGTTTGATATTGGCTTCAACGGACCACACATATCTGTATGGACCAACTCCAGGGGCTTCTTTGCTCTCCAATTTCTCTCCCTTGGAAAATTTGTTCTTGCATGCTTGCCAAGAACACAACTTTCACAAACTTCATTCGGATGATCAATATTTGTAACCACTTCAACATCCTTTTCTTTGACAATAATCTTAATCCTTCAAAATTTAAATGTCCAAGTCTCAAGTACCACAACCAATTCTTATGATTTATAATGAAACTTAAACATTTTGGTGAGTCATAAGGAATGTTTAAAGCAAACATTCTTTTTTTAGACATTCGTACGTGGGATATTGGATATCCACGATCATCTTTGATTATCAGGCTGTAATCTTTTAGACTAATATCATATCCTTTTTCTAGGAGCTGTCCTAGACTTAATAAATTATGCTTGATATCCGGCACATAATAAACATTGATAATATAACTGTGACCACCATTATTGAGTTTGATTAAGATGTTACCTCTTCCTTTTACTGGAACTTTGGAGAGGTCGCCAAAAGAGACATAGCTATGCGGAGTTTCATCAAGCTCCATGAACATATGCTTTTTCCCACACATATAATTACTTGCTCTTGTATCTAAAAACCATATATTTTCATTATCTACTGTTGTATGATGAGCCATCAATATCAGTGATTTTGGCTCACTTGTATCACCAAAGTTGGTATTTTCGCACTTCAACTTCGGCAATTTTTGCATGACATTTGTTGCTATAATGTCTATACTTATGACAATTATAACTAGACATTCCTTTTGTCACCAATTTGATGATTAAGACCATTTCTGCATCTTTTTTGTCCTCTACCTCGACCTCTATATTGTCCTCTTCCTCTCTGATAAAATTGTTGTTGAATTTCATGTCCACCATTGATGTTAAATCTTCCTCCTCTTCCTCTATTATTAAAACCTCGTCCTCTTTGAAATTGGCTCCTTCCTCGACTTGGTCGTGAATTTCCTTCATTTCCTTTATTTTCTTAAAGAGAAAGCTTTGATTGCAATGCTTGATCAAGAGATTTTGATGAAGTTTTTTTATTGATCCGTTGTTCATGGATCTCTAGAGAAGCCAATAGTTCATCGATAGTCATAGTACTGAGGTCTTTGGATTCCTCAATTGCTATGACTACATTATCAAACTTCAAATTTAAAGAACGAAAGATTTTTTCTATTACCTGTAAATCTTGGATCTTTTCTCCATTGCGCTTGATATTATTCACTCTAGTGAGGACTCGAGTAAAATACTCCAAGATTGACTCACTATCAAGCATCTCCAATGTTTCAAATTCCTTTTCAACATCTATAGGCAAATTCTCATTGTCTTCTCGATACCTCGAAATGAATTTCGAAGTGCATCCCATGCTTCTCTTGCGTTTGTAATAGAAGCAATCTTCTCAAAATTTCCTTCATCTACTATCTGATATATTAGATACAGGGCCCTCTGATCTTTCTTCCTTGCTTCCTTGAGTGCTGCCTTTTTAGCTGCATTTAATACGTCTTCATCAGCTTTAGATGTAGGTTCTGTATAGCCTTTCTCCACCATTTTCCATAGGTCTTGGAATGCTAAGAGCACCTTCATTTGTATGCTCTAATTCTCATAATTTTCCTTGTCAGCCTTGATAGCTATGGATGGAAAAAACTAGATGAGGAGGCCATATCGAAATTGAAACAAAGATTATATCACTATCTTTTATTCTTTCTTGGCTCTAATACCACTGATGGGTAGAAGTTGTGATAAAATATCACTTTTTCACTCAAATAAACAAACTTTCATAAATCTCACAATGTATATTTCATACAATATAGCTATTTTCTCTCAACAACTCTCTTATACAAACATAGAATTTTCTCTTCTACCCGATAGTTTAAACTACATCCCAATACACTTATTTATAGGAAAAACTAAGAAGTGTTCAAGACGATCAAGTAACTCCTTAATCTCCTTTAGTAGAAGTCAATTAAGGAAAGTAACATTATCCCATATCCTTTGATAGAAGGAGAGTTCAAATTGCTCAAGTAACTTTCACCTCCATTTGAAGAAGAATTCAAATTGGTTACGTAACTTCTTTAAAAACTCTCGGCCAATGACGAGCTTTTCCTTCACCGTCTTAAATTCTTCTATCCAATAAAATACTTTTGCTTAATCAAGTAGAATTTTGACTAAGTCATATGTTCATCTTCATAGATTCTTGATGATTTTGAACTTCTTCGTATTTCTAAAATTTCATTGGTCAAGTTTACACTACTTTCAACAATAATTCCATGTTTATTACTTTCTCTGTTCGGATGAATCTAGAAGGACCTTTTTTTGGTTTTGTTCTTTGGTCTAAGTGATGACCGGCTTCTAGTGTTGGTGGGACTGGGGACTGAGAAGGGGTTTTCTTAACAACTTGAATTGATCAGCTTCCAATGTCGATGGCTCTTGAGAATATTTTCATTGGATTTGCTTTCATAAATCCTCTTTAGGTTTCTGCTGATTTTTTATTATATTTGTGCTGGCACATGTTAGGTTCAAATTAGTTAGGAAGAGGTGTATATCAGAGAGAGATTATGAGAAGGAATTCAGATTTTTTTATGTGATGAATTATGCTCCCTTAATCTCTGGATCTTTTCTGTTTACATCTTTATTCTTCTTAATTTCTCTACTTTCATTCTACATTTGGTTTGTAAATTAGGTTGGGCTTTGATTGAGTGAGCTTTGACCATTACATTTTTCCACTTTATGCATATATTTTCAGAGTTCTGTTTGTTACCGTAATTTCATGTTTTTTAATCTAGCTTCTAGTGTTGGTGGGACTGAGAAGGGTTTTTCTCATTAACATGATTGATCAGCGTCCAACGTCGACATCGGTGGTTCTGAGAAGGGTTTCATTGGATTTGTAAATCCTCCGTGGGGTTTTGCTGATTTTTTGATGGACTCTGTGCTCTTTATGCAGTTTGAATCACGACAAGTTGTGATTCTTTTTCAATTTAGTGATTGTTCTGAGATTCGTAGTTGTCACTCTTTTTTGCTTCAAGCTAATCTTTAATTATCAACATGAGAAATTTGATGTGTGGCTTTGAGAATTGTTTTTCTATCAACATGAATTGATCTAAAGCAGTGAGTGATTCTTGGTGTTCTTTTAGATAACTTTGAGAAGAGAAGTAGAGCTCTTGGGCTTCAATGATGAAGAGACTTCTTGGGTTAAGTACACTGAAATTTTTGTATTGATGCCATAAATGAATTACAGGAATATTGAAGTTCGTTGAAATGATATCCCGATGAAAATCTCTACACATTCCATTAATATTGTTTTCATTTTCCTAGTTGATAATATTTCAAAGTCCAGTTTCTTTCTGCTAATGATATTCTAGCAGAAGCTATGCATGATTTATGGACAATTGTGGGCAGCTCACTTTTAGCAGATTCAATTCGGGTAAAACAAAGGCCTGATTCAGTTCATATTCCTCCAATTAGTGTTCTGTCAAGATCGCCAGAATATATGGATTTATTAACATGAGTATTTTTCTTTTCAATAGCTGTTAATTAAAAATTCCTTCTTCCATACCATTTTTTTCCCTACTCAGGAACTCAACTAAATTTAGTTCTGTGGAAAGCAGCAACAACAGTAAACAATGACATCAATCTCAAAGTGAATTTTATGTTCACCCGTGCCAGGTTCCTCTCTCCTTGATCAAATTATTTTCTATTATTTTTATTTTATTTTTGCCTGGTTAGTAATTTCTACCATTTTCATTTTATTTCAAGTATCACTTGATATTTATGTGTGATTTTTATAAATGATGAAATTTTATTTTATATTTAACTAGCATTCCTAAAAAAAATCTAGTTTAGCAATTTGTATATTCAATTCCACTTCAAGAATTCCATCAGAGTTCTTTATATAACTTAAGGATCCTCATATTTTCATTTGACTTATCCATATGGACAAATTATACTCAAAGGGTGTTGAGAGTCACTTGGACTTGATTAGGCCCTTAGAGATGCTCCAATGAGATCTGAGAATCTCGTGGACTTGATTTATTTTTTAGGATGAATATGCTCAAACCTGGTCGAGACTCCTCAGGGTTGACTCGGTCATTGGGAGGGATTAGTCTATAACAGTTTTGAGACTTGAAACAAGATGAAGACTCCTCTAGCTTAACTTGGGCATTAGGAGAGATTATTCTCAAATGGTGTTTAAAACTTGCTTGTGCTCGACATGCCAGTATATGAGCGTGCCACCGAAGAAAGAGGCCCCACATCCCAGTGCTGTACCTTACCCTATTGCTACAGCTATTATTGGGAAAAGTGGCACTAATTTTGGCTTTATATATTTATCTGCCATCTTGAAGAGTTTTGTTTCAAATCAGAAGGCCTGTCTTTTTAGGCCCCACATCTCAGTGCAGACCTTACCCTATATTGCTACATCTATTGTTGGGGAAAGTGGCACTAATTTTGGCTTCTTATACATTTATCTGCCATCCCTGCTCTGCAAAGAGTTAGGAGGGCATCCGCAGGCATCTAAAATATTTAAGGGAAAATATCTTTCGTACAGTCTCTTAGTACAACATTCCAAAATAGCTAGACATAGCTATGGAGGTCTGCAAATTAATGGTGAAAAGGTCTCTGCTATACTTGCAGGAACTGGGAAGTAAACAATGACGACTTTTATTTCACTCTTGCCAAGTACCTCTCTCCCTCATCAATTTATTCTCCTTTATTTTTATTTTATGTTTGCCTAGTTTAGTAATTTCTTCCATTTTGTATTACTTGATATGTGATATTTATGAATATATTTAGTATCTTCTAATTATATTCATCTAGTGTTCATTCCTAAAAACCTAGTTAAGCGATATGTGTATTTTAATTCTCTTTTCATTTCTTTTCATAGCACAACTTGATAAATATGTGTGATATTTATGAATGGTGATATTTCACATCTTCTAATTAATTATGTAGCATTCCTAATGAAAAGTTATAGTTCGACCCAACCAACACCTAGGGGGGTGAATAGGTGTCTATGCGGAATTTAACAATTTAATTAAGTTATGCAACAAGTCACATAAATTAAACGTTGTCTAGATTCATTCACATGATTTAACTACCTATGTTGAATTGTCGGTTGAATTGAAATTGACAGAAAGCAATAAATAACACAAAAATTGTTGACGGAGAAAACTCAACTAGGTAAAAACTCCGGGCACAAGCCAGTAGGGATTCACTATAGAAGACTCCCACTTACAGTACGTCAGGCATGACTGTATCTAACAACACTCTGACCTCCTTACTGTATCAACCAAAGCTCTCCTGGATTCTGCAGATCTGCGCCAAAATCTCAGCCTTGTATTTCTTCTATTTCCCGTGAATCAACAATAACTCCAATTCTTCAATCAACCTCCTTCACGGATCTTCAATCAACTGATCTTCTGGAAGTAGTGAGGATTTTTGATAGGTGTTTTGTTTGAAAAAGGTGTTTGATGTTTTTTTTCTTCAATGAATCATATGGTGAAGAGTTTTGCAATTGATCCTTTAGTAGAGAGGAAAATATTGTGTTATGTGTTTTGCCAAAGGTTGTTAATAAAAAGCGAAATTTTTGTTTATATAGTAGGTCGTTTTTTGTAGTGTGGAGCGTTTAAAATTCGCGAGAAAGGAAAATTACCAAACGCGGGTTGACACTGTCGCTCGAGCGAAGTGCCGGCGAAACTCTAGCGACGTACTCTCGCTCGAGCGAAGTTGTGGTGAAACTCCAGCGACGCAGGTTCTGTTATTTAGGCTCGAGCGAGGTCAGGGCGAAACTCTAGCACCAATCTTGCGCCGTTTTCATCTTCAAAGCATCCAACTTTACCCTAGACCTATACATTAATTATTGTAAAATTGCAACACAAGTCCCTGAACTTTTGACATTGACAAATTGGTCCTTGACTTTACAAACTCGACAAATTAGTCCTTTTGGTCACAGATTGCCAATTACAACATTTTCCTAACAAACTCTCCCTTTGGCATTCTATGACAAAATTACACAAGACAGTCAAGGACACAAAAAATGTAACTCCTACCGACCTATTCATTCAACCAAAGCAACTATTTCCTGTCGAACCTGTTTCCTGAAATACAGAAACTCAATACCAAGTGTAAAAGCACGTGAAATGGAAACAGTAGATAAAACAAGGAATGGTGCATATATAATTAACCAGATTAAGAAGCAATAGTAATGTAAGTCAAAAAACACCAAAAACATACATCAATATTGCTAAAACATCAAAACTTAATTTAGTCATTAAATAGATATCAAACCACAGTTATATCACAATTAATCTAATATATCACAGTTAAATTGAGATTAAACTATCTACTCCCCCTTTTTGTCACAAATGACAAAGGATCAAAAACTAAAACTAAAACTAAGAAGCAGCACCACCCGCACTCGGTGACTCATCACTAGTCTCGTCACTTGAGCTCTCATCCAATCGATCACAAATCCAACGCAACTGACGGTGACACACTGATAGAGCACGCCGAAATGAAGAAAGCTCAGCAGACTGATGCTCCGAAGCAACACG